GCTGGAAGTCCAGGCTGGCCGGCTCCTGGTGAAGGCCCAGCCCGGGATGGAGGCCCCCTGCTGTGTCCTCAGGGTGGGAGGAGGGAGCCCCGTTAGGACACAGCTCTGGGGGCTGCCCTCAGGACCCATGCCTCCCCGAGGCCCGCCCGGCCAGCATCGCCTAGAGGGCCGGGGTACAGTGGGAGGGTCTCAGGAGGCCACGCCTTCCGTGAGCAGCCCGCTCTTTCTCGAGACCTGGGACTGCACCGCCCTTTGAGCTGACCGGCATCGCGGGCGACCCCAGCCTTGGCACCGGGAGAAGGGGGCCTTTAGGGGCGAAGGCCATCCTTGAGGCTGCGGTGGGGGCCCTCTGGGGCTAGGCTGCCCCCGCCTTTGAAGGGGAGAAGCAGAAAGCCTGCATGCGCTGTAGGCGCCTGTCCACACTCTGAGCCTCCAGACGTGGGGGAGTGACTTTGCAGCTCTCTTGGGGCGGGGCAGATGGCGGGGCGCTCTGGGGTGAAGCTGCCTCCCCTCTCTGCTCGGCCCCTGGGCTGGGTGTTTCCCTGTGGCCATCAGCAGCCAGTCCCGCTGGAGGCGCACAGAGACCAGGGCTGCCTGGGGAGATCTGCCCCAGCTCCGTCCCCGGGGTTCAAGGGCCACGGCCGCAGTCTGGAGACAGGCGTCTGGATTACTGCATGCGTGGAGGGCCAGCCGTGCAGGAGGGCCCGCCAGCCCACACCTCAACCGCGGGGAGGAGGCCCCTGCCAGGCCCTGCCCACAGCTGCGGGGCTGCCCCGTCGAGCCCAGGTTTCCCAGGCAACCAGGGCCGCTGGGAGAAGCCTCTGACAGCAGGCAGAGCCACAGCCCAGGTCAGCCGTGCCCCCCGTGGACGGTGAGGCAGGAAACCCTGCCCTCGGGCGGCTCCTGGAGCCCTGAGTGCCAGCCGCTGGTGACCCTGAGGAGGCTGGGAGGAAGCCTTGCCGTCCACTCACACAGCTGACAGACGCTGAGCAGTTCCACGGGGGTTTCTGGCACTTTCTTCAGAGGGTCCTGGCTACAGAGAGGACTGTCTGAGGCCCTGCTCTCAGTCCTGTCCCCTTGGAGGGATGAGGGCTTCCCTGGGGGCTCAGCTGGCAGGGAGACCCCGGTTAGGTCCCTGGGTCGGGAAGATCCCCTGGAGGAGGGCATGGCCGCCCACTCAGGACTGGGAGGGATGAGGGGACAGGATGGTGGGAGGGGACCCAGGTCGGGGCTGCCACGTCCACGGGCATCCTGCCCTCGGGTCCCCCTGGAGTCAGGCATCTCCTGGACCGTTGTCACCTGCCGGTGTCCCAGTGGGGTTGGAGTGGGGGTCCCAGGCTGGGCTGCAGGGAGGCGGCCCCCAGGGTCTGAGGCTCAGCCGGCAGTGGGGGTCAGGGGCCAGCCAGTGAGCCCCTCCGTGGAGCCCCTGCCCGGCTGGTTTCCCAGGCAGGCTCCTCCTGGGCCCGCAAGTCAGCCTCTCGATGAAGCCGAGGGAGCGTCAGGGAGACCAGTGGCCCCGGCATCCAGCCTTGGGGAGCTTCAGGGCCGCACTTCCTGGTCTCCGCACCAGGAGTCCCCGAGACAGAGGCCGCGGACGGCAGAGGTGCGGCTCCTCGGGGCGTCTTAGCAGAGAAGGCCCGACGTAGGCGAACGGGATGGGAGGGACCCCGGTGAAGGCATCTGAGCGAGAAGGAGAAAGTGTGGCTCTTTTTAAGACTGCAGTCATCGGGAGGCACTAGATACTTGTATGTGGTAACAGGACTGTCATAGGCGTCACAGCAGTCAGCAGTTCCTGCCTCCCTCTGGCGACAGCGACGCTCACGAGCGACATACTCTGGTCCGCTGAGCTGGGGAGTGACGTGTGAACCTGTCCTTCTGTGCAAGAGGAGGCCTCTCAAAACACACGCGGGAGTGACTTTACTGAACGGGCTTGAGTCACCGCTAAAATTATTATTGAAATGTTGTAATAAACCAAAGACTGTTACTTTAACTAAATAACCAAAGACTGTCGGACTCTTTGCGACCCCCTGGACTGTAGCCTCCAGGCTCCTCGGTCCATGGGGTTCCCCAGGCACTAATACTGCAGTGGGTTGCCATTCCCTTCTCCAGGGGAGCTTCCCAACCCAGGGATGGAACCCTCATTTCCTGCCTTGGCAGGCGGGTTCTTTACCACTGAGCCGCCGAATGCCCCCTTAGTAGCACTAGCAATTTATAAATCACCCATTTCTCTTCGGGCTTAATGGAGTTTTTTCTTTCTTTTTTTTCCTTCTTGTTGCTGTCCAACCCCTGCCCCCTGCTGCCTTTCTTCTGCCTCTTCTCCTTTTCGTTTAATAAATAGAGAATATTGCATTAAAGAATTGTTTTAAATTTGTGTTTCTGAAGTTAAAAGAAAAGGGGGTATAGCCAGTGCTTCTGATGGCACCTCAGCACCAGAACAGCCTCGCGGCCCGTGTCTGAGCCCAAAGAGTGAAGTCTCCTCACCCACGCCCAGACCTGCGCGGAGATGCCCGTGACCAATCAGAGGGGGGTGTGTGGCGGGCCCGGGGCGCTTCCACCGCAGCCCTTAATTCAGTTCCCAGCAGAGAGCAGCCAGTCGGGAGGCCGGGGGTTAAGGAGAGAGTGACCCCCGGGCCTTTTCTCCCCAGAGCTACGTAGGCTCTACGTGGGCTCCTAAACACCTTTTCTTCCTCGCTCTTCCATCCTAAGTATAGCAACCACATGTCTTAAATCCACTAACATTTCAAACATTTGGTCCAGTTGTCCCCATAAAAGGCACCCCTTCTTTTCAGGCCATGTGTCCCCAGTTTGAATTTAGAAAGGATGGTCACTACTATTTTGGAATATCGGGCCCACCCCCACCACTGGAATGCAAGCTAATTAAGAGCAAAGACTGTGTCTTATTCATCCTTTCAAACCTGTGTCATCTTTTCCCTCCTACCTACCCATCCTTTCATTCTAAAATTGGTTCTGCTTGCTTTCTCATCACTTAGCTGCTATTCTTTGAAAGGACAGATCCCAAAATAGCACCCATCTCTTTTCTCTCTTCCAAACACTGTGTGTGTGTCAAAATGGGTTCAGAAAATATTATTTGCCTTAATGTTTTATATGCAGCAATACAGAATCTACAAGCAATAATGTATCTAGTAAGCATCACCTATCAAATTAATTTTTCTGAATACTTCATTGTGCTGCGGGCAACCAAGTGGTACTTGAAAGTCACAAACTTCACTGCTTTTGCTTACTTATATACAAATTATATACAAATATATAATGTTGTATATATACAATAAAAAATATATATACAAATATATAATTTGTATGCAAATTAAAGTTGGCCTGGCCAACAGAAGATATTAACTTCATATTAGCAGATGTCATATTGGTAGAGGGCAGTCATAAAAGAAACTTCCAGTACAGTGCTATGAATTCACAGCTTTCAGTAAATATTATAAAATGAAAATGATACACACGCTTAGAATTTATGTGTCTCATACCCACACAGCAAATCCTCTGGGGTCTCAGGAGAAGAATTTCAGCAAATGCTTTGCCTCTAAACACTTTGCATTCCACACTTTATTACAGACCCAGCCCTTAACATTTTCTTCCAGATTCCTTCTCCTAGTACTGTCTCCAGTGTAAGTCTCCAGGAGGCAGTCTTGAATTAGCACAGAGTTCAATATGTCAGGAGACTATGGCCATCCTTCACCCTATAGCTCAAAAATCAAACTTTTGCTATGGATAGAAGCATCTAGATGGAGTATGGTGAATGGGAGTATGAAATTACGAACTTAAACAGTCAGGAATTATCTTTCCGCTACCTCTAGAATTTTTAATTCCGCACCAAAGAACTTGAACTACCAATTCAGGTAAACGAAGAAGCAACCTTTGGTAAACATTATCTGTACATTAGTAGGCTCTGCAGACATTAGCCTAAGTGGCCGACGAGAACCTAGGGTCATGCAAAACACCCCCCTCCCCCACCATCTCCTGATGCTACCACTCCTGCCCAGGTGTGGCCTTCCAGTCCAGATGACTTTATATGTCACAGCTGCCTTCTGCCTCCTGGAAGTCAGCCTGGACTCCTGTGACTGGCCTGCCCTGAGGTCGGGGAGCTTCAGGTCAACCCGCAGGCAGTGTCTGTCTTGTTTTTCTCCCACCTTTCTTCATGACCTGAGCTCCAGACCTGATACTGAGCAGGCTGGGGGCTCAGCTCGTGTGGACTTTGAGTCACGGCTCCCAGGGACCAAAGGGACGGCCAAGCAGGAACCCCACTGTTGCCGGGGGACGAGGCAGGGGGTGTGAGTCAGAAGTCTCAAGAGCACCCACTGGGCGGCAGTCTGCGTAGAACCCCAGCTGGCTGTTGGGACCAGGGAACCGGTCTGAACATTAACAAGAAAAGGCTGGGCCTTTGGAGCAAGACCCTGGTGGTTCAGACAGTAGAGAATCTACCTGCAAGGTAGGAGACGCAGGTTCGATTCCCGGGTGGGGAAGATCCCCTGAACAAGGGCATGGCAACCCACTCCAGTATTCTTGCCTGGAGAATCCCATGGACAGAAGAGCCTGGTGGGCTACAGTCAATGGGGTCGGAAAAAGTCGGACACGACTGAGCAACTAACTCTTTCACACTTTGGCTCCTGGAGAGAAGTGGCATCTAGGCTGGACTGCGTGTGTGGCAGCATGCGCTTCAGGGCTGAGGTGAGAGCTGGGCTGACCCAGGGGCAGGACAGAGACCCTGTGACGGGAGTCACTCCTGGCCCGCAGGCCCTGGTTTGGTCCACTCTCGGCATCTGCTCTGAGCTCCTGTTTGTGGCTGGGCTGCGTCCTGGGGGCTGCGGACACTGCGGCGACTTGGGAAGACTCAGCCCCTGCTCTTGTGGAAAAAGCACTGTGTGAGGGAGGGCTTTCAGGAGGAAGAGTTGGGCTCCCATGCAAGATGCAGTGGCTGTCACAGGGCCCCGGAACCCATACCCGGGGCAGTGACTTCCTGCTCCACCTGCCAGGTTATGACCCAGTTCCTGCCTTCGCCACGTTGGGCTCCGGGACGAGACGGAACGGTCTGTGGGCGGGAGAGCCTCACTGGGCCCAGCGGGGGACGCCGGATGGACGCCCCCGTGGTTCTGCACACGCGTGTGTGTTCATGGCGGCACGATCCACGGCGGGCACAGAGGGAAACAGTCCAACTGCCCACTGACGGGGGGAGAGCTGAACAGACCATGTCCTAGACGTGCGGGGGGACGCTAGCCTGAGGGAGGAAGGAGGTTCTGACACAGGCTGTGCGCGTGAGTTCCGTGTACGCGACGCTGGGGGAGGTAAGCCAGCCGCAAGGGGACACCTACCATCTGATTCCGTTCATATGAAGTACCTGCAGCGGTCAGATTCCCAGAAGCAGAGTAAGCGGCTGGCTGCCAAGGGCTTGGAGGGAAGGGCAAACGGAAGAGAAGTGCCTACAGGGGCCCAAGTGCCAGTTTGTTGTTCAGTCACTGAGTCGACTCTGACTCTGCGACCCCACGGACTGCGGTCCACCAGGCTTCTCTGTCCATGGGATTCTCCAGGCAAGAATACTGGGGTGGGTTTCCCTTTCCTCCTCCAGCGGGTCCTCCCCACCCAGGGATCGAGTCTGCGTCTCCTGCTTGGCATGGTGATTCTTTCCCAATGAGCCACCTGGGAAGCCGGGGTCTCGGTTTAGGTGGTGGGAGAAGTTCTAGAGCTGCGCGGTGGTGAAGGCTGCCACCGGACTGTGCACTTAGAAAGGATCAAAATGGTGAATTTTATGTCAGATATGCTTTAAAGAAAAATTTAACCCATAATATGGTGGGTAAGGGCTTCCCTGGTGGCTGCGATGTGGAAGACCTGGGTTTGATCCCTGGGTCAGAAGCGTCCTTCAAGCTCAGAAGTCTTTCCCAGGCCGTCTTCCCCACCTGGCTTGTCGACTCCTTGAGGTTTAGGAACTCGCCAAAGAATGAACTAATATGTTCTCTCGTGAAACAGAGCAAAAGTGGGGAAATGCAGAAGCAGGGAAGCAATGAGAGATCGACCCTTTCTGTGAGCTTAGCCTGTGCCTGTGGCTCAAACGTCTTCTGCCTCAGAATCCCTTGGAGGGCTTGTTAAAATAAGATGACGAGGGTGGGATGATTTGAGAGAGCAGCGTTGAAACGTGTATGTTCGCATACGTGAAATTGATGCCCAGTCCAAGGTCGATGCATGACGCAGGGCACTCAGAGCCCGTGTGCTGGGACAACCCAGAGGGATGGGAGAGGGAGGGAGAAGGGAGGGGGTTCAGGATGGGGGACTCATGTATACCCGTGGCTGATTCATGTCAGGGTATGGCAAAAAACCACCACAATATTAGAACAAAATTTTTTAAGGAAAAAAAGAAATAGAAAAAAACCACGATGACGTTTGCATCTTTAACAAGCTCCCAGGTGGTGCTGACGCTGCTGGTTCAGGGACCACACACATTGAGAACCACACGCCTCAAACCCAAAGCTCTTTAAAGCATCAAAACCACAGACCGAGGATTCTCAGATTTTAGCAAGAAGATTTCCGTGAAATGCTTGTTGCAGTGCCAGAGTCCCGAGCCCTGCAGATATTTGTACGTTTTGAAGCTTCCCCAGCTGATTGTGATGCAGTAGGTTTTCATTCCATGGGGGAGTCGATGCAGATATTAGTCCAGGGGTTCTCAAGGTGTGGTCTGGATCAGCAGTCATAGCATCTGGGTACCAACTGTCATCCACTTGCTCGGGCATGTACGACTCTGCGACCCCGTGGACTGCAGCCCGCCAGGCCTCCCTGTCCTTCACGTCTTCTAGAGTTTGCTCAGACTCATGTCCACTGAGTCAGTGATGCCATCCTCTGCCGCCCCCTTCTCCTCCTGCCCTCGATCTTTCCCAGCATCAGGGTCTTTTCCAATGAGTCGGCTCTTCGTATCAGATGGCCAAAATATTGGAGTTTCAACTTCAGCACCAGTCCTCTAATGAATATTCAGGGTTGATTTCCTTTAGGATGGACTGGTTTGATCTCCTTGTTGTCCAAGGGACTCTCAAGAGTCTTCTCCAGCACCACAGTTCAAAAGCATCAGTTCTTCGGCACTCAGCTTTCATTATGGTCCAACCCTCACGCCTGTGCCTGACGACCTGAGGCCTTAGGGATGGCTAATTCACACTGAAACCTCAGAACCAGTGAGCTGGATCTTTCGATAGCTCCTTGTTCACTGATGTGCTGATGACTAAACGCGGGCTTTTAGACAATGAGATATGTAGTTTCCCTGTCCATGTAACCAATTACTGGAAAAACAAATTGTTTATTCTTTTTAAAAAACAAAAATGTTGACCTGGAAATGTGATTTGTATATTGCCAGAGTTGGAAATATACAACCCTTTGTTTTCCCTTTCCAATTTCACAAAAGAGGATAGAAAAGTTAGCTTCTAAAGGTTGGAAAATGAGGGAAAATGAAAGAATTCCCTCCTTCGGTTAAGAAATGTATGTTAAAACATAGTAAGGATGGTGGTTTTAGCTCTAAGTTTGTTAGTGTTAGTCACTCCGTTGTTTCTGACTCTTTGTGACCCCATGGACTGTAGCTCACCAGGCTCCTCTGTTCATGGGATTCTCCAGGCAGAAATACTGGCGTGGGTTGCCATTTCATTCTCCAGGGGTCTTCCCGACCCAGGGATCAAACCCGGGTCTCCCGCATTGTGGGCAGATTCTTTACCCTTTGAGCTACCAGGGAAACCCTTTTAGCTCTAAGGACACCCATAAGACACCAGTTCACAGGAGAAAGGGTTTGTATTAAAGAAAGAATAATTTCTTAGCAAAGATAATTAGTAAACATTGGGATGGGCTGACAGTTGATCGTGGAAGATCCTCCTCTGGAGATTTCCAAAGCTCAGAGGACATCTCCCCTGTCTGCAGCAACAGTGGGGATCGTATAAACTCCCCTCTGGCCTTGACGCTGAAGTTCTGCTTTGCACAGCAGGGTAGTAAACCTGTACGGTTTCCCTCAAGCTTCTAGCAGAGCCACAGTGACAGCTCCCCTCATCGTTAGATTGTTAACAAAAGAGACTGAGCAAGTGGTGGACAGATAAAATCCTCCCACCCTCCTCACCCTGAGTTGGGGCAGGAGGCCAGTCCAATCTCTGGCCGCCCTGTAACTCAGTCCCCCCGGGGCTCCTGCAACATTTATCTAAGCCCTTGGGCCGTGGGCACCAGTCTCCAACGTGGAAAAATGAGAAACGTCCCCCTGACACGCTCTTTCAGTGGTTCTGATTTTAAGGTGCAGCTGGGGTGAGGCGTCAAGGGCAGCACTGCTGAAAAGGGAAGATCTCAGGGTGAAAAGGGAGACAGGAAGGAAGGCCCTGAACAAATACAGATATGAATAGCAGCGGGCTATTCCTATTTGGCCGGGAGGGCAGGCCCCATCCTGGAAGGAGAAGGCGCCGCTGAGAGGCCTGGATGTCGGGTCAGGCAGGGGCGGCGCTGGCGGCTGTCAGACCTCCTGAGGATTTCTGCTTCGGGAAAGAGTCGCAGGGAGACCCTTGTGATTTCTCAGTTGGAGGCCTGAGCAACACTGATGTCCAGCTTGTGAAAACTCTCCAAGGTTATCCAAAAGGTTCAGAGGACTCCCTCCGTCAGGGAGCACATTTACCAACCGTGGCATCGTGGTTTAAAACAGGGGTCCGCAACCTCCAGAGAGAAGGTGGAAAGACAAGGAGACGGCAGACGATGAAATGGTTACGCAGCGTCACCAACTCAGTGGACGTGAGTGTGAGCAAGCTCCGGGAGATGGTGAGGGGCAGGGAGGCCTGGCGTGCTGCAGTCCATGGGGTCGCAAAGAGTAGCATGTGGCTTAGCGACTGAACAACAGCCCTGCCCTCCGGATCTAATGCCTGATGATCTAAGAAGGAGCTGGTGTAATAATAAGACATAAAGTACACAGTAAATGTAACGTGCCTGAATCGTCCCCAAGCCACCCCCACCCCGGTCTGTGAAAAACCTGTCTTTTGCAAAACTGGTCCCTGGGGCCAGAGACACTGGGGACCTCTGGCAGGTGCTGGCCGTGGAGTCAGGTGACTTGGGAGAAGTCCCTCCTCTACCGCGTGACCGTGAGCAAGTTTCTCAACACTTCCAGGCCACGCTTTCCTTATTCGGAATATGAGGGAAGTACCTAACAATTGGACCGCTGATGCAGTTTCACAGATAACGATGACTGAGCACAGGGCCTGGCACGGAAATGCGCCTTAAACCTTAGCTCTCAGCACCTTTCTAAACAAGCGCAGGGCTGGCCTTAGGTCCACGAAGGCAATGCCTTCCAAGGGCCGGCTGACTCCTGGCGCCAGCCTGGGGCAGAGTTCTCAGCATCCCCTGGCAGAATGGAAGGGTTAAGGACCACGTCTGACGTGTGCGCGCTGGCCCTCACTTGCCCGACATCTCTCTTCTCTGCTCTGAGAATGTACAGTGCTCCTTGGTCTGGGAAATGACTGTGTAGTAGGAGCTACCTTTAGTTTCACGTTCTTTGCCGCCTTGATTTTTTTCTTTTTCTGGTCTATGAGATACTAAGAATGGGAACCAATCTTGTAGAAGTTAAAGGGAACAGAGAAGGGACACGGAGGCTCTCACGTCTGCTGCCAGCACAGGCGCCTCATGCTCTTCCTGCTGTGTGTGTGTGTGTGTGTGTGAGTGTGTGTCTCTGTGTGTGTAAGTGTGTGTGTGAGTGTGTCTGTGTTTGTGTGTGTTTGTGTGTCTGTGTGTGTGTGTGTGTGAGTGTGTGTCTCTGTGTGTGTATGTGTGTGTGTGCGCCTGGGTGTGTGAGTGTGTGTCTCTGTGTGTGAGTGTGTCTGTGTGTGTCTGTGAGTTTGTGTGTGAGTGTGTGTATGTGTCTGTCTGTGTGTGTGTAAGTGTGTGTGAGTGTGTCTGTGTGTGTGTGTGTAAGTGTGTGTGTGTGTATGTGTGTGTCTGTGTGTGAGTGTGTGTAAGTGTGTGTGTGAGTGTGTCTGTGTTTGTGTGTGTCTGTGTGTGTGTCTGTGAGTTTGTGTGTGAGTGTGTGTATGTGTCTGTGTGTGTGTGTGTCTGTGTGTGTGTGCCTGGGTGTGTGAGTGTGTGTGTCTCTGTGTGTGTGTGTCTGTGTGTGTGTGTA